TCAGGGTCATGACTAAAGGGGACAAAGAGGTTTTTGTGCCCCAGGAAAAGGGTGGTGTTACTGCAACAAGGGCCTTCATCCTAATGCACTTGCTATGAGTCTCTGCTTCTCTATGTAGCTTAACTTGGGGCACAGGCAATCCCGAGGACTATTAGGAGGCACAGAAGGAAAAGAGAAGCCCTAGAATGATCACTTATCTTATGAGAGACTTACATTACTTATTACGGAAAGATGACGAGTGCTGTAAAGTACCAGCTACACGGTGAAAACAAATGCAGATATTTGTGGATTCATTCATCAACTATTTACTAAGCACCTATCCATGCACTCAATACCTGTGAACACTGAACAAACCCTCTACCCTCAAGGAGTTTCAATTCTACTGGTAAGAACAGACAATACGGACACGGCGAATTCAACATAACTTTAAATTAACACAGGAAATATCACACACATTTTGGGCTGGGAAGGAGTAGGCATTGCGTAGTCTGTTAGTCCCCGAGGGGGGCACTCACTTGCCCCAGGTACTAGGGGTATTAGGGAGAAAATTTCTGAGATGCACAGGGCAGTGTTTAACACGAGGACCCAGCCCCGGAGACAGGAAGTCTGGTCACATGGATTAGGAGAACCCTGTACCCTTTATGCCTCTGTTTGAGAGCAGCAATTCTACACTAGAGACCACAGGAGCATCAGTCCACGGCATGTTAATAGACACAACTGATAATGGGTATCCAAGGATCCAGGAGACTCACACTGGTCAAAACAGGCACCACTGAGATTCTATTTCCCTTTCTAGATGCAAAATGCACAGTAGCTGAGTCCATGCCCTACGGTGTCCTTAGGAAACGGATCTCTTTATTCTCTAACTGTTTGTTTTCCTTTTGTTTTTGAACAGAGCCTGTGCTTCCTCTTCCTCTTAGTGACATACTTTTCTTCACTGATTATAAGATGCCATTGCCTGTAAAAAGTGCCATTACTTAATTTGCCACTATTAATAAAAAAACAACCTCTGCCAATTATAATGGTAATATATTGTCATCTACAAGACACGTTAACATGTGAAAAAATGTGAGACTTAGAATTGGTGGATAGAATCAGACTTGGTTTTTAGATATGCCAGACTAAGGGGCCTCATCTCACTGAGCCAGGCTGTGTTGTGTTTGCATCCGCGTTACTTCCTTTTCATCATTTCATACATACTCCAGCCTACCTGGTCTGTGACGCAGAAAACCCACCGATTGATAAAAAGACTCGTGTTTCCTTCCGTCATATGAAATATAATTGGTGTTGTGAGGTGTTACCCATCAGTGACTCTGTGCTTTCATGCATGCATGTGTGTGCATATGTGTGTGCATGATTTTGGGGTGGGGGTAAGAGGCTTGAAACTCAGGATAGAGAGAGAGAGTGCCCTTGCTACTGGGCGTGGTCTTAGGACTAGCTCTGGCCAGTGGAGTGGGAGCACAGATGAGGCGTGCCAGTTCTGGACAGAGGTAGTTAATGTCTGTGTGTCTTGCCCATGCTCTTCTCCCACACAGTGCAGCAAACTTGGAGGCTGTGTGCTGAATGTGGCAGCAGAATGAAAGCAAAGGAGCCCTGGCTGGTGTAGCTTAGTGGTTTGACTGCCGGCCTGTGAACCAGAGGATCGGGGTTCAATTCCCAGTTGGGGCACATGCCTGGGTTGCAGGCCACTTCCCAGCAGGGGGTGCATGAGAGGCAACCATACATTGATATTTCTCTCCCTCTCTCCCTCCCTTCTCCTCTAAAGATAATAAAATAAAATCTTAGAAAGCAAAGGAGCCTAGACCCCTGAGTCCTTGTCAGAGCACCTCTAACATATCCTCACTGAGAATTTCATGAGCAACAAATAAAATTTTATTACATAAGTCACTCAAGTTTGGGGGTTGATACAGCAATTAGCCTAATCTAACACAGGTCAGTTTTGTTCTTTCATACTTTGTTACTGTACCTGCAGTACCTGCCAAATAATATTGAATACGTTTTCCAGAATGCTGGGGAAGGCAGGATTCTTCCACTGACTCAAGATGATTGGCCCTGAGTCGACCTTGCTCCACATGAAGAGGGTTTCTAGAAAATCAAGTTGCTTTCCATGCTCCCGGCCGAGTCTCTACACTGCCCCCAAGGTGTCATTGTGACTATAGTGCAGTGGACATTATGGGCTCAGGATGGTAGCCAATCCCTGGCGTCTTATCTCACTGTAACACTGCAGTGCTGGGTCCATCCACCAAAGCAAATAACAGGGCTGGAAGTTTCTCTTCTGTATGTGATACACAGCCCATCTTCTGGAAGAGGTACACAGAGCCAAGATATCTTTGATTCAGGTCAGTGAAAGACAGTGTGGTAATCCCATAGAAAAGGAACCCTCGTTACAAGGTACGAGCAGAAATTCTTTAATCCTGTACTACTATCTCATAAAACCCAGTGTAGGAGATTGTCTTAAACCCCTTGTCTTAGGTCTCATCTTGACTGTCAAAGGGTTTTCTTTCAAATTCAAGAAGAAAGAGGATTTGCACCATTACACATGTATATTACTCTATTCATTTAAGTGCTGTGTCCTCGTCACAAAGGCTAGTTATGTCTGGCCTGAAATAACACACTTTCTTCTTATGAAGTGGAGTGGGGTGTGTGTGTGTGTGTGTGTGTGTGTGTGTGTGTGTGTGTGTGTGTAGTGGGTTGGAGGTAGGCCAAGAAGCTTGAGGTATGGGCAGTGCACGGCCTCAGAATACTATTATGATATTATTATTATGGTAAGTCAGTGTGTGTTTTAGAAAGATTGCTTTAGTTTTAGGATAAAGGTGGATTGCTAGAGTTGAGACCCTGGAAGAGGTGAGTCTGGTCCCTGGGCAATCCATTAACAACAATGTAGTGCGCTAATCTAAGACAAGGAAGGGGTGTAATAAAAACAGAAATAAAGATGGGCCTTTTAGAATTGTCTTATAGAAAAAAATCTCTATAAAAAACATTCTTGGTAGAATGTTTTGTTTTAAAATGAAGGTCTTACTATCCGGGTGTGGTAAGATCTATAGCTCAAGTAATGATTAGAAATGAAAAGTTTGTTACTCGCAGTTCCCAAGAGGAGGGGGCACACCACACCCTGCAGAGCCACAGGGGGAAGCACCAGGGGTCCTCAGGAGGCAGAAGGAGAGAAGGTGAGGCCTGGGCAGGAGCCTGTGTTGTGGCTTTTGTGGGGAAGGCAAGGAAAGACAGAGTAAGCAGGTCTAAGATGCTACTTTGAATAATTTTAGCAGGCTCTGTGGTGGGGGTGGGGGCAGTTTAGGAGCTTTCTGTATTTGTCTGGGACCTGGCCCTCTGATGATAAGGGCAGAAGAATATTGCCTCCTAGAGCATTAAAGCCAAATAGAGGAAGTGGCTCAGCCATGGGCTTTGGATTGGTTAGTTTGCATATGAAAGCTGCACTCCAGGGAAATCACTGGCTATCTCTATGAACTTGCCAGCCCTGGGAGGGGCAGTCTATGCTCAGCAAACCCATGCCAGAGTATCAAGAATACAGAAAATAAGAGAAATAGAGTTAATGTAAATGTGATGAGAGAAAGGAGGAAGCCAAAGAGGTTTCCATCTTGGGTGACTATGTGGACGTGACATGGCATGACCTTTTCCAACAACTAAACTTTATTGAGCACCTACTGTGGGCCAGGCACTACTCTGAGACCCTAACGTGGTCTCAATGAACCCCTAAAGCAAAGTTTTGACATGGGGGCTCTTTTAGCTTAATTGTACAGCTGTGTTGAAGAAGCCTACAAGAGCTGGTGCTCAGTCCCCTATGACATGCTCCCTCGCAGCCTGATTTCAGATATTTGGAAGTGGGGTACCTGCAGGACATCTTGATAGAATTATCTAGAACACAATACCAGTAACGTCCCCATTTTAAATTGTGTTCTCATTTAATGGAGATCTACATTGTACTGCAACATCCCAGGCACTATCCTAAAAGCATGACAAATACATTTATTTAATCCCGTAACAGTCCTTGGAGGGACATATTTATTCCCATTTTATTCATATTTTTAATCATCACAATAGCTACCAATTTATGGGATATACAAATGAACCATGCCCTAGATTGGACATTTTATGTAAATTAACTTTATGCGATCATTGAAAACAAATATGATTACCTCCATTTTAAAGACCAAAAAACTAAGGCTTAGTGGCTTCTATCATTTGACTCCCGTCACATGGCTTTAAGTCGATGGATGAATTTCATAGATTTCAGCTTCTGTTGTGATTAAAACTATTATTCCATTGTTCAGACCAGAAATTAAGACTTGGTACTTCCCATGCCTTGTCCAATGACATAGGCCATAAATCACCCATCTTGGATTTGCCTTCCAGGACATTTGATTCTTCGATCTAATTGTGTCCCACCATTTGTGTACTTTCCCAACTCCGTTTCTCTGGAGCTTCACTTTGCATCAGTTTCACAAACAGGAATCCCGTCCCCAGGCTGGATGGACCTGTAGGCTGAACTCTGCACCCCCTTCCATTCATATGCTGAAGACTTAACCTCAGATGGTGGGTGTCTTTCCAGAGAGGGTCTTTAAAAAGGCAATTAAGGTACAGTAAGGTCATGTGGGTGGCCCTAATCCAGTAGGACTGGTGTGCTTATGGGAAGAGAAAATTAGAACACAGGAATGCACAGAGGGAAGACTGTGTGTTGGCTGTCTGTCTGTCTATCTATAAGCCAAGGAGCAAGCCTGAAAAGTAATCAACCTCTCTGACACCTCCGACTTCTTGCTGCCAGATCTTCGTGGAAACAATAAATTTCTGCTGTTTAATGTGCCGTCCTCCCAGTTTGTGATACTTTGTTAAGGCAGCCCTAGAAAAGGAATTCAGAAAGTCTCCACTCTTGAAACATTATAAGAAAGCCACCATCCTAAATAGTTACACAGACCGACCAGTCTGACTGCTTTCCTAGGTTCACTAATGCTGAGAAATCAGGTGATTTACTGGGATAACAGCCAGCTTCCTCTTGCTGTTCGTCCTGCCACTGGTCTGCAGACACTTGCTTCTTTTTCTAACTTCCCCTCCTGAGAAAGGGGAGAGAAATACTAGAGAAACAAAAGTCCAGACTGCTAAGGTTGCCACTCTCACTTCCTCTTGCCCCTAGCGCAGCGCTGCTTTGAATACAGGAATCGCTGTGGGGCACCAGAGTGAGGGAAAGAAGAGCCGCGAGGCTGAGGCTGCAGGGGGAAGGCAGTTACAGCTCATCGGGCTTTCGCAGAGCCGGTTCTGGTTGCAGAAAATGCCAGGATGATGTCTCCCACCCGCCTGGCTGGGACTCTGATCCCAGCCATGGCCTTTCTCTCCTGCCTGAGACCTGAGAGCTGGGACCCTCACGTGCAGGTACGTGTTCGGGGTTAGTTCATCTCCTGTGCACTTTGTCTTGTTTCTGAAAAACTGCCCTTTGCCCAGAACTTCTCCCTAGGTGAGTTTCATTTCTAAAAAGGAGTCAAATTACCTGAAAGATGCTAGAAGCCGCAGGACCAGATCATTCTGGTTGTAAGGCACTAACAGGCAGTACATACCCTGTCTTAGCTAAGATTTAAGGTCAGATAGGCCTGCTTAAATCACTGTTCTTAGGTTTCTGGGCTGTGTAACCTTGAAAAAGTTATAAAACCTCTCTGAGATGAGTTCTCCCATCTCTTCAAGAATGGTAATAATACCTACTTCAGCAGAGACTTGTCAGATGCCTGCTTCCTGTCATTTCTTTCTGCTGGTGGTCTGTGCTCAGCTTTAAGCAGTCACTTTGACTCTTTCAATGTCCGGGAGATTTTTTTTTTTGTATTTTAATAGAAAGAAACTTCCTAAGTGGATTTCATACTGAATCTAGTCATAGTTCTATCCAAAGGATGAAATGAAAGAGATTTAGAAAAGAAGAGAGATAAATAGAGAAAGGGAGAAATAAAGAGAGCATGGGGGAAAAAAGAAAAAGACATAAAATGTCAGCCAATGCAATGTTTTCTTTCTTTGTGAAACATCAATGAGCTGTTTTGCAATCACATTCACGATGGATCTTTTCTGTTTTCACAACCACTTTGGAATCAGTAACACGCAAAGAGTCAAAGGACTTGGGGTGTTGGTGGGGTCAGAAACTCAACAGAAGTATAACCAGCCAGAGTCCTGAAATGAAGGGCCTGGGGGACATAGTAGACTTTACTATGTAACGGAGGTGAATCTGTTATCTTGGAGTCCTCTGCTTCCCCAATTCCCTGCCCACAGCTCTATGCCTTGTCCCTCCTCTCTGTGACTCTCTTGCTGTTAGGCTGAGACCCTTCAGTCAGGGTCACCCCTGGATAAAATCACACCGATTTCTGGATACTCCCTTTTCTTCTGCCTTATCGTCTTTCTGTCTCCAAAGCCTGCCCATCCCCTCAGTGCCAACCTCAGTCTCGACTCCAACTGAGTCCTCAGTGTCCCTGGCCTGGACTCTTGAATGGTGTCTAGTCTCCTGAGTCCGTAGCCCCTTTCTCTAATCTACTCTGCATATTTTCTTTTGTCATTTATTTGTTGCTGTTATTTTTTCCTGACGCTTGGTTCTAACAAATTACCCTCTTTAAAAACACAATAACTCTCCATTGCTATCAGGGCACTTTTAAGTGGCTATCTTCTCCAGCTAGAAGGCTTTTCCCCTGCATCAGTGCTGCCCAATGGTGATATAGCCTGTGGGCCACATGATATTACTTAATTCAAATAATACGTTGAACTAAAACATAGTTTTTAAACCCCATATATTCAAACTATTTCGACATGTAATAGAAACTGTGAGTATTAATAAGATATTTTACGTTCTTTCTTTGGTACTTCCCTTAGTATATATTTTACATTTACCATCTCAGTTTAGACTATTCACGTTTCTCATGCTCAGTAGCCTTGGGTGACGGGCTAGTAGCTACCATGTAGGACAGGGCAGCCCTAGAAATTTTCATGACTCAATCCTTACTTCATTCAGATCTCTGTTCCGTGTCACCACCTCTGGGCAGTCCTCCTTGGTCACTGCATCTATGGCTCTCCACAACAATATTTGCCTCTAAACTTTCTAGCTGCTTTGTTTTTTATAATTTTATATACATATACATATATATGTGTATATATATGTATAGGTGTTTTATATATATGTATATGTATATATATAAATATATATATATATAAAATGGTGTGTGTACACACACATACACACACACAATGGTGCATATAAAGATACACACACACAGGGTCTGGCAGAAGTAACACCTGCTTGAGTGTGGTTTTATTACTGAGTTATTATTTACTATTATCAAAGACAGCAATTTGAACATTTCCCCCAAAATGTCATATGGTGTGCTTGAGTATGATATTGTTATGTTACAGAATTACATGCCTATGATTTTGTAATAAAAAGGGGCATTATTTGTGTTATATATATTTGCTCATTTGTTGATTTCTTTCCCTTTGAAATAGAATCTGTAAGAGGGCAAGGTTGTTGCTGGTTTTATTTATCACTACATCTCGGTTCTTAGCACACAGTAGTTGCACAATTTGTGTCAAAAGATTAAAAAGTATTTCCACAAGACAAAGTAAAAGGACCTCCTTATCCAGCCCTGGATTCCCCTCAGGAAGCCTGAGGGGGAGTCTAAGGGGGAGCCCTTCCCTCCACATGCCAGCTGGTATAAACCAGTTTTGCACTCCTCCTTTCTCACACTACTCTCCCTTCTCCCTCTTTTTGTGTATCCAAATCTTGCTCATCCTTTTAAGGCCCACCTTGAAATCATCTTTCTCAAAAGCCTTCTACTATCCCTGGATGCAAAGTTGGTCTCCCTTATTTTCTGAACCAGAATTCATCTCTATGTTTTCGGAGACAGAGGAAATATATTTTTTCTTTTTTTTTTAAGATTTTATTTATTTATCTTTAGAGGGGAAGGGAAGGAAAGAGGGAGAGAAATATCAATGTGTGGTTGCCTCTCGTGTGTCCCCTGCTGGGAACTGGCCTGCAACCCAGGCATGTGCCCTGACTGGGGAATCGAACCTCGATACTCTGGTTTGCAGGCCCTCACTCAATCCACTGAGCTACACCAGCCAGGGCCAGAGGAAATATTTTTCAAGCCTGGTTTATTGGTCCCTCCCAGTAGTGTGACTTGTGCTCCTGCCTTAACCCTTACTCCAGACTGTGAGTTCACTGAGGTCTGGAGCCATGTCACGTGGGTCTTCGTACTGCTCCAAACACTAAACACAAAATGCCTACAACTGGGATTTAAACAAACTTCCATTCAATCGGTTATTCATTCACTTACTGAACAAATATTTACTAAGCATCTACCACTTTCCAGGCACCATTCTGAGTGCTGAGGACATAGCAGAGAGCAAGACCATCAAACCTTACAACCGGGTAAGGGAGATGAACCACACATCTGGAACAATCCCGTGGACCACATAATGTTAGATGGTGGTATTTCCTATGAAGGAGGGTGAAAGAGGGTAAGAGAAGCGTGCCTGGCACCACCCTCTATGAGACAGTATAGTCTGGGAAGCTCTGATTAACAGTTAAACAGATGTGAATAAAGCAAGGACCTGCCCATGGGCCCTGTGAGACTTCATGCATATTCTCTTATCTCTCTGAATTCTTCTTTTAAAAGTTTGTTTGAAAATTAAGTTAAATCACATAACAACAAATACACTGGTATATAGTAAAGAATTAATAACAACTAATAATAGTAAATGTTCACATTTACTATCATTTACGCTGTAATTGGCTTTGAGATAATCTCTGTAAATACCTTATCTCATGTAATCCTTTTAATAGATTCTGTTGGCGTTAACAACAGAAAGTCAGAATTAGTTGGCTTAAGCAAGACATTTTGTTGGAGTAGCAATTCTCAACCTCTGTCCTCTTATAAACTAATTACTAAACTTCTGTGGCACACTGAAAAACACTTTTTGCTGATCGGTCAAAAATAGGTATAATTTTGATTCATTCACACTGGATGACTATTATGTTCTGTTGCCTTTTTTTTTTAAATTTGAGAATCTAAGGGAAAAGAAGTCAGTGCCCCCGACTAAATAGTCAGGTGTTGCCTGTTCAGAGAATTCAGAAATTAAATGGGACTTTAGAGAACAAGGCTTACAAAGTATTTGAGAAAATATAATAGAAACCAACACAGGAACCAAGGCAGCGTAAAGCACTTGACATTATTTACTAGGTTCTACCACTGGAGTCCACACACTCCAAAGAATTCTTTCCCATTTTTGTATCACCTGCTCAAATGTCACTAAGCCAAGGGACAGAAGCAATTGACAAAAATTGGGCTATGACTAAGGCCAGTCTGGACACTTTGACTGGCAGTCTCCCCAGACTGCATAAAATGGGGTGTTACTTAGAAAACAAAGTCTTGCCCTAAACCACATGGAGGAGCTGAGGTGAAATCCCATGCTTTTGGACTCCAGAGCCTCAGCTCTTCATCACTAGATTCTCTTGCTTCTTGCTAAATGCTGCTATTGTTGCAGCAGGGGTTAGAATATTGGATATATGGTAGGTGCTCTTCTTAGTCCAGAGTAAGATGTTTTATAAGTATGAAGTGAGTAGATAAATGGATGGATGGATGAGGAATGAATGAAAGAAGACTGACTGGATTAACTAGAGGCTTGTACTAGAGGCCTCTCAGACTATGGCCTAGGCGAGGGGAAAGTTCTGTTGCAGTGCATACTCTAAGATACTGCTTCTGATGTATGGTCATTGCAGGTGGCTCCTAACATCACTTACCAGTGCATGGAGCTGAAGTTCTACAAAATCCTTGATAACATCTCCACATCAGCCAAGACACTGGACCTGAGCTTTACCACCCTGAGGTGTTTAGGCAACTATAGCTTCTCTAGATTCCCAGAACTGCAGGTGCTGGATTTATCCAGGTAATGAATGAGTGTTTAGACACTGTACAAGGTAAAATGTTCGTTGTTCTATCATTTCATTCACTTATTCATTTATTTAATGGATGTCTTAATTGCTATACAACTTTGGGCAAGCTACCTGCTAACTACTCATTTTCACAGATTTTATCTGTGAAAATGAGTAGTTAAACCAGAGAGTTTCTAAGGATAAGCCTATCTTTGAATTTTCCTTTAAGTCAAGAGAGAAAATTGACTCAAACTCTTTCATCAGCAACTATTATGGACCACTTGCTATATGTTGAACACTCTGCTAGGAAACAAGAGTACACTGATATATAATTAACCCCAGCTATCAAAAAGGGCATATCCACTTGGAAGAGTTAATATGTTAAAATCCTGAGCATCATGCTGGGCACATGAGAGACATTCGACAAATATCACTGATTTTGAACCTTAGATAAGTGTGGCGATGTACAACAGTAGGTGATAAGCTATGTGTGAACTAGAGGCAACACAATGTGTTTTTCAGAAAGGGGTCTTTTTTGCACTGATTAGTCAAGACCAGTTTCATGAACTGAGTAGGATTAAAATAATGTCAGGAATATTGAAAGTGAAGTAGAGGATAGTGAATTAGGAAGTTACCAGTGACCCAAGGAGAAAGATGACAAGATCAAAGGAAAACATCTGCTGTTGGCAGTGAACAGTGACTAAGATTTTCTTTTCTGATGCAGGGACTCTATCATTCATTAGGACAGGTTCAGTTATTATCATTATTTGGGAAAGGGGGACTGAATCTTAAAATTGGTTAGCAGCCTTATTAAAAATAGTGAACTTCGTTTAGCTAGTGGACGAGATAATTGAACCATATTCTCTGTTAACAGTGTGTGAAAAAACAGAGAAGCATTTCATATACATCTTTTTATTATAGAAAGTCCTAATAAAAACTAACAGCATAGTATGAAAATACTCTTCTAGAGTAGATGCTCAAGAATGAGCATCTGATGTTTCATATTCCAACTTAATGATAAGTACATTGAAGGACACACTGGGCATTTTAAAGGCAGTGGTGTAGTTTATAGAGCCCTGTGGCGTCCGAAGACCTGAGCTAGGTCCTCGCTAACATTTACAGCCACGTGGCCTGAGGCACGTCACTTCACTTCCCTGAGTCTTAGTTTTCATATCGGTGGAGTAGGAATGATGAAACTTGCCCCATGGGATTAAATGTGATAATGAATGTTAATATGCTACACATATTAAAAACCTTAATAAAGGAGACTTTGTAAGTATAAAGCATTATTATCATTATAGCATTTCATTACTTTTTAAACTTCAGCTTTCTCACTAAGAATCTTGTTAAGAACTAACTGTACTGAGGTCAACAAACCAACCCTCCTCTTTTTTAAAATAAGTAGATTTTATCAAATTATGTCCCTTATAATTCATCTTTGATCCATCACCTACCCAAGAAATTTCCCTCAAAGCTTTAAATATGTGCTCAGAGAGAGACCAGCTTCCCCTCTGGCTAGCCGGTAAGATATTCTGAATTAAGGCAAGGACAAACAATACTGTAATAGATATTCTTCACCTATTCCTATTGCTTTACAACATTCACATACAGTAACTCAACTAGTTCTCTAAGGATGCTTTGCAATGGACCAAGAAGTCATTTTTTCTATCCTATTGACATATATTTTTCTTTTTATAGACTAGGAAACTGAGGCTTGGAGAGTTTAAGTAATTTATCTATGTTCATGTATCTTGTTGGCTGCAGAGCAGAGATTCAAGTTCACATCTCCTGCTTCCAAGTTCAATGCTTTCTTCATCTTAGTACTCTACTTCTCTAAAGTGGTGAGCACCCTGTGATGAGACAGAGACACAGCAGGATTCTGCTAGTCTTGTCTGATGCATAGAGTGATAACATACATAAGATTGTGGGCTATGAAATCATATAACTAAAACCAACTTGAGAAACAGTCGTGCTATTTGCCTCATTTTGAAATGTGGCAGAAGGGAAAAGGAACTCCCAAGCTCATGCAATCTGAAAGGACGAGCAGAGACACCAGAACCTACATTTCTCGGACCTGTCTTCCATCGTCCTTTCTACTGCACTCACTACACTCTATCCCGTCACCAAGCAATAATAAAAGCTTGAACTGAAATGCTTTTATTACCCATGAACCTCTTGAAGGGGACAGGGCAAGCAGGAACATTACAAATGTAATTTGGTTGGAATTGGAAAGGACTCATTTGCAAACCGTAACTAGCAGGCACTTGCTGGGCCAGGAAGAGTTGACCATAAGCTCCTCGTTTGCTGGCTGGACAACAGCTTTATGTCTTGGACACCTCGATGAACATTGTTTATAGCATGGCTTCCATCTCACTTGGGGTATATTCAAAATCCATTTTCTGGTTTGAAAGCCTTGGGCCTTATTGAAACCTCCTTTCTCCATAAGCCCATCTCATACCCCTCCCCATTTTTCTCTGTACTCCAGACAAAGAAGCAGTTTCTCATGGCTGCTCCCTGTATGGTGGCTGCCACCTAAGTCGAGGCTTTTGCATCTGCTCTTCTGTTTGCTTCCTCTCCTTCTTAACCCCGAGTCATCTCGCACATTTCCACTGAAGTGTTCTCAGAGAAGCCCGCTTTGATCCCCTTTGTCTGAGTCTGCTCTCTGGATGTAGCCTCTCTTAGCAGACTTTTCTTCCACAAAACTCACCCCATCACCTGTGATAACTACAACCTTTCATCAACACTGAGGGTATCTGTGGCACTTAGGTATATACCTTCTTATATCTTTGAAATGGACATTCATCAGTCATTTATTCTGCCTAATAAGTAACAACTATCTGTATCATCTGTACTGATCAGATGTGTGATCGGTAACCTGTGATAGGGAATACCTAAAAGCAATCCAAAGACTATTACGGACTCTATCAGCCATATGTTCTTTATGTGCTCCAGTTATTGATCTTTAACTGATTTCCTACTAACGGATGTGGTGTTTCTGCTTAACATGTGTACCTAGTGTGACAAAAAACAGATTGTCATTGTGGCTAGTATGATAATACCAAGGCTGTGAAGCTTCTTCTTTGTTCGTGCCCTCATTGGTTTGTTTGATGTCTTCGCCTACCACAGTCATATGTCATGTCAAACGTAGATGACTGGGGCTGTTTTTCCATTTGGGGCTTTCTAGTCATCATAAACATATTATCTGTATCTGTTTTTCCTGTAGGTGTGATATTGAGATGATTGCAGATAATGCATATCAAGGCCTAAACCATCTCTCCACCTTGATATTGACGGGAAACCCTATACGGAGTTTAGCCATGGGAGCCTTTTCTGGACTATCAAGTTTACAGACACTGGTGGCTGTGGAGACAAACCTGGCATCCCTAGAGGTCTTCCCCATTGGACACCTGAAAACTCTGAAGGAGCTTAATGTGGCTCACAATCATATCAATTCCTTCAAGTTACCTGAGTATTTTTCTAACCTGACTAACCTGGAGAACTTGGACCTTTCTAATAACAACATCCAAAATATTCATCATGAAGATGTGCAGGTTCTACATCAAATTCCCCCATTCAAACTCTCTCTAGATCTGTCCCTCAACCCTTTAGACTTTATCCAACCAGGTGCCTTTGAAAAAATTGAGCTCCGTGAACTGACTTTGAGAAGTAATTTTAATAGTACCAATGTAATGAAAACTTGTATTCAAGGTCTGGCTGGTTTAAAAGTCGATCGGTTGGTTCTGGGAGAATTTAAAAATGAAAGGATGATACCAGAGTTTGACAAATCTGCCCTGAAGGGACTATGCAATTTGACTATTGAAGAATTCCGAATAGCATTCTTCGATAATTTCCCAGAGGATGACCTTGGCTTTTTAAATTGTTTGGCAAATGTTTCTACAGTTTCTCTGGTGAATCTGCGTTTAGACAGGTTAGGAACTCCTCCTAAAGATTTCAAATGGAAAAACTTAAAATTGGCTAATTGTCATTTGAAACATTTTCCCATACTGGAGCTTGACTTTCTCAAAGAGTTTGTTTTCACTGACAACAAAGGTATATCCCTTTTTACTGATGTTCATCTACCAATCCTGGAGTTTCTAGATCTCAGTAGAAATGGCTTGAGCTTCAAGGGTTGCTGTCATCACAATGATTTTGGGACAACCAGACTGAAACACTTAGATTTGAGCTTCAACGATGTTATTACCATGAGTTCAAACTTCTTGGGCCTAGAGCAACTAGAATATCTGGATTTCCAGCATTCCAACTTGAAACAGGCCAGTGATTTTTCAGTATTCCTATCGCTCAGAAAACTCCTTTACCTTGATATTTCTTATACTAATACGCAAGTTGTCTTCCGTGGAATCTTTGATGGCTTGGTCAGCCTCCGAGTCTTGAAAATGGCTGGCAATAATTTTGAGAATTACTTCCTTCCAAACATCTTCACAGACTTGACAAACTTGACCTTCCTGGACCTCTCTAATTGTCAACTAGAACGAGTGTCCCAGGAGGCATTTGGCTCACTCCCTAAACTTCAGTTGCTAAATATGAGCCACAACAACTTCTTTTCCTTGGATGTACTTCCTTATAAACATCTCCCTCTCCAGATTCTGGATTACAGTTTTAATCATATAGTGGCTGCCAAGAGTCAAGAACTACAGTATTTACCAAGTAGCCTAGTTTCCTTAAATCTTACTCAGAATGAGTTTGCTTGTGTTTGTGAACACATGAGTTTCCTACAGTGGGTCTGGGACCGCAGAATTCTCTTGGGGGGAGCTGAGCAAATGATGTGTGTGAAGCCTTTAGAGATGCAGGGTATGTCTGTGCTCAGTTTTAGAAATGACACCTGTCAGATGAATAAGACTATTATTAGTGTGTCAGTTCTCTCTGTACTGGTGGTATCTGTTGTAGCAGTTCTGATCTATAAGTTCTATTTCCACCTGATGCTTCTGGTTGGCTGCAAGAAGTACAGCCGAGGTGAATGCACCTATGATGCCTTTGTTATCTACTCAAGCCAGGATGAGGACTGGGTGAGGAATGAGTTGGTCAAAAACTTGGAGGAGGGGGTGCCCCCCTTTCAGCTCTGCCTTCACTACAGAGACTTTATTCCTGGTGTAGCCATTGCCGCCAACATCATCCAGGAGGGTTTCCACAAAAGCCGCAAGGTTATCGTTGTTGTGTCCCAGCATTTCATCCAGAGCCGATGGTGCATCTTTGAGTATGAGATTGCCCAGACCTGGCAGTTTCTGAGCAGTCATGCCGGCATCATCTTCATTGTCCTGCAGAAGTTGGAGAAGTCCTTGCTCCGGCAGCAGGTGGAGCTATATCGCCTTCTCAGCAGGAACACTTACCTGGAGTGGGAGGACAGTGTCCTGGGGCGGCACATCTTCTGGAGACGACTCAGAAAAGCCTTGCTGGATGGTAAATCATGGAATCCAGAAGGAACGGAGGATGCAGAAAGCAGCCAACATGAAGCAACAACCTCCACTTGAGGAGCAAACGCTCCTCAGGTGCTTCTTGCCTGGGTGGACCCACTACTTGTTCAGCTGCAACATGGCAGGTGTTGCACTCAGGGCAGGTGATTCAGTGGTACACAAGATACACAGGCCTGCTGATCTCATGGGGTTCACAGTGCCAAGGGAATAAATACTGTGCTGAAATACAGACCCTCCAGGTGAATGTTTTAACCACCTCAGTTAAGGTGTTCATGATAGAGAAAGTCAACTCAACTCTTACCCCACATAACTGAATTATAACTAAGAGACTGGCCCCCATGACATCAGAAAAGGATGTAATTCTTCCCCTGAGCCTTTGGAATGGAAAGCACCTTATATTTTACACTGTGGCTACCTTAAAACACAGCAGTGGAGGTAGTTTCAACTAAGCTGGGCCTTTGCTCACTTTTCCCTTTTCTACTGAATACAATTTAAATAATATACGCTGATGATTCAGATCCTCCTTCCACTTCAAGTCAGTTTCCTTACAAAGGTTAAAACCTTGCACCAGTTCCCTAAGGAAATCCGAGTGACACATATTCACAAACATCCTGGTCAATTTTTTAGCATGTTCTATTTATTAACTAATAGTCCAGGGTATATTAGGTTTTTATAAATTCAGTTCTCATTTTACATGTCTTCCCTATAAACCTTGAATTTAATAAGGTTGTTAGAGACATGCTGGAAATAAACATTATTGAACCACTGTCTTTCAAGCAAATGTGTAAAATGCACTTTGTCATTTGATGTCATTCTAAATATATTACCTACTAAGGTATGACTGTCAGAAAGGTAGCATTAAAATAATTTGGTTGAAAGTGGCACTTATTGTAATGGGGGAGAGATGTCCGTCTTCCTGGTGTCATAATGAGCAATCTGGGCTGTCAGAAGGGCAGGATGGCCTCTGGAGCTCAGTGCTTCTGGTCAATCCCAGAAAAGCACGCACTGATGCAGCCAGGGTGACCACATGACAAGAGCTGAAGCCAAGGTTTCTTCTGCATCAAATGAGTATTGTTTGATGAGACAGTGAATCCCTCAGGGGACTGTGAGATGATTCAAGGTGGGAGCACACACTGTTCTTCCTGCTGGGTATCACTCTGTGACCACATTTATGAAAGAGTAGATATTCTCACCGAGACAATATGTTCCTGGGATTAAGGTGGGTCATGGTAAGGTGAGTTCTCAGAAGAGCTCTCACTCAGCTTTCTCAGAATGGTGCATCAAAGAAAGCAATGAGGACATTTGGAAAATACAGCTGTCAAAACTGGAAATATGGCCACATGCAGAAATGTGTCTGTCACTGAGTGTTTCAGTGTATATTTTGGTCTGAGCATGGCTGGAGTTGCTGAACATGCCTGGGTGTGTTTCTAGGTCTTAATGTGCTAGTGAAAGTAGTTGCATGTATTCATGCACATGCCTCTGTGTGTTCTTGGCTGTGTCTGTGTGTATGAAGAGGATCTGTGTTTGTGTGATCATGTCCGCGTGGACAAGAATGCTTATGTTGTAAGGGGGATATGCACACTGATGTGGAATTCTATAGCTGTTTGAGTTCTGTACTCCTGTGTGTGTGTGTGTGTGTGATTTGCTTAAACAGGTACCAGCGTTAGATTATGAGTAGCTTGAAGGCCTGTCTTTGTGTATGTCCAGGCCATACATGACATGTGCTCAGGCTCATATCAAAGTATATGTCTGCATATGTGTTTTAGTTTAAGCAAATATACGAGACTGCAAGGAGGAAAATCAAAATATGACTGGTATGTAGGTGTCTTTCCCATAAGCCCCTTCTCCCAGCTGGGAATTCTGAAAACTCAGAGTGAAGTTAGATGAGAAAGGAAAGAAATGATATGATAGAAACAGAAGGGGGAGAAAGAGGAAAGGTAGGCCCAGGGTCAGGCTTTTGAATTTATTTAAATTCTCTAGATTAAAGAGACATGAAGGGTAGAACAGAGAAATTAATATAATTAGGAAGCCTTAAATGTATATAATACCCTACAAAGTAGAACATATCTACACAGTTGTAACCACATTTGAATCTCTTATTATCCAGGTGAAATAGCAGGCTAAGAAGTAGTTTCCCCATTTTACTGATTTGAAACCTGATGTTCAAGGGAGTAAACGTACTGTCATTAGGCCACAGAATAAACGAGTGGCCGAGCCTGCACATGGGACTCTGGGTTTCTTGGGGCCATGCAATTTCCACTGCACCTTACTGCTTCACGCTTAATGCTGGCAAGTGAGAAGTGAAACCCTGGCCGTTCTCTGTGTGGTTGACACTTGTCAAGTGTTTTTCACCAAAACCATGAATCATTAGGCAAATGCATATGCATATATATATTATATAGACTGTATGATTTGTTTATAACACATTTCTTTCCATGAAGGACATGAAGGAGATTCAACCACAGTATACATGAACAATAAGTTTAATCAATAATAACTCAAAAATCTGGGTGAAGAACAAAAAGAGGAAAGAAAGACACCAAGAGTAAGCCTTTAGCATACTGTTTCCCATCCAAACTCCAGAGAGATAGTTTTAAACAGTGTGGCTTTTGGAGGAAGACAAAAGTCACATTTACTGTTTCCTACATGTGCTTTGGGCTTCTCTTCTCTGAAAATCTACTTAACTTAAATATACAAAGAGGGTAGGTAGACTATTACTCTGTAAAGCTGTTGTAAGTATTTAAAATAATATATGCATAATATAAGGTACATGATTTGTATGGGTGAGTGACCCTCTGGGACTTTACAAAGATTACATAAGGAAAATCACTAAGTGCTCTTTCCAATAACAGCATTTTAGCAATTGCTGTTTTCCCAACCTGTGTAACCACAGGAGGCCTGTGACTGTAATCGGACAGTTTCTTTCTGACTTGGCTTATACCCCTGGGGTTGTCAGAACCCCAGCCTCCTTGGGGACTATATAGCCTTTCTAGAAATAACCAACAGGATTCCGGAGGGTCTTACGAGAACTCAGAAGAATCCTCATAAGAATCGTAGAGCTCTGGGGGGACAGAGAACATGTCTGTTCATCCTTTGCTTTCCCAGCCCTAAGCTCGATGGTCTGTGGTCAGCATCTGTTTATTTGAAGAATTGATGAGTTAATGAAGAACCATATTTATAGGGAATGCTGTCCTCTCTGCTTCCCAGAAAAGTTCCCCAACTCCTACACCATTCTAGTTTTGGGGCTCTTGACTTCCTCTGCTGTTCCTTATTTCTGTTGTTATCTACCATTTTCTCAGTCACTTCTTCCATGTGGTTCCTTAATTCCAAGTATTTCAAAAGTTACTTTGCAGAGTGGAGAAGAGGACCTGCCTTATAATAGTTATCTTTAATGGTTATTTTTAGGTCCTCTTCTCCTGCTTTATGTAGGCCATCTAATTTAAATTCCCACACCATGCCTATGAGATGGGCACTAGTAATATCAGCACTTTTATCCAGTAGGAAACTGGGGTCTGGAGCTGTAAGTAACTTATTCAAAGTCACACAGGTAATAAATTTTAGAGTTTGCATTTAAACCCAGTACCTGATATTAAAGGCCAACTAACTATGTCAAAAAGTTTCTCTAATGCCTTCCCTCTATTTCATATACAGATTGGAATGTTACTTCTCCTTAGTTTTATTTTCTCATCATTATAGCCAGGGTTCAACATTAGAACCAGGTATGATGGTTAAACTGAAGGATGGGTGTAAGGCTAAAGGATGGCTGTAAGAGGCATTAGGTACTTGAAACCAACCATTTTCTCCAACAGTGATGGACTAAGCCTCTTCTACTTCAACTCTCTTTTCTGATGGAGTAAATTCTTTCTCCATGAGGCTCCAGTGCCGACAGGTCCATCCAGATAGTCCCAGCTCTTTTCTGTATATATACCAATGACCCACTGCTTTCATCTGGGATTCATTATTTTGTTAAAATTAGATCAATGTAATTCTTATTAAAATACAAATGAAATATTTCACAGATTTAGAACAAACATTTAAAAAAATTATATGGAACCATAAACAACCCCGAATAGCCACAGCAATTTTGAGAAAGAAGAACAAAGTCGGAGGTATCACAATACCTCATATCAAACTATATTACAAGGCCACAATAATCAAAACAGTCTGGCATTGGTATAAGAACAGATGCATAGACCAATGCAACAGAATAGAGAGCCCAGAAATAAACCCAAATCTCTATGGTCAATTTATATTTGAAAAAGGGGCAGGGGCATAAAGTGGAGTAAAAATAGCCTTTTCTACAAATGGTGTTGGGAGATCTGGACAACTTAATGTAAAAAAATGAAACTCCACCACCAACTTATACCATGTGCAAATATAAACTCGAGATAGATAAAAGGCTTAAATATAAGTCATGACATCATAAAAAGCCTTGAGGAGAACACAAGCAGGAAAATCTCAGATAATCCATGCAGCAATAGTATTACTGATATGTCCCTTAGAGCAAGGGGCATAAAAAAGAGAATAAACAAATAGGACTTTATCAAAAAATGTTCTGCATGTCTAAAGAAAACAGTAGTGAAGTGAAAAGGGAACCCACCATATGGGAAAATATATTTGCCAATGATACCTCAGACAAGGGTTTGATCTCCAAAATATATAAAGAACTCACAGGACTCTACTCTAGGAAGACAAACAACCCAATTAAAAAATGGGCAGAGGACCTGAACAGACACTTCTTCAAGGAGGACATACAGAAGGTCCAGTGACATACGAAAGGATGATCAATATCACTAGCCATCAGAGAGATGCTAATTAACACCACAATGAGACACCACTTCACACCAATGAGAATGGCCATCATAGACAAATCAACAAACAAGAAGTGCTGGCAAGATTGTGGAGAAAAGGGAACCCTAGTGCACTGTTGGTGGGAATGCAGACTGGTGCAGCCACTGTGGAAAACAGTATGAAACTTCCTCAGAAAACTAAAAATGGAACTGTGTTTTGACCCAGCAATTTCACTTCTGGGATTATACTCTAAGAACACTCAAACACCAATTCAAAAGAACCTGTGCACCCCAATGTTAATAAGAGCACAATTTACAATAGCCAAGTGCTGGAAGCAACCTAAGTGTTCATCAGTAAATAAGTGGATCAAAAAACTATGGTACATTTACATAATGGAATTCTATGCAGCAGAAAGAAAAAAGGAGCTCCTACCCTTCATGACAGCATGGATGGATCTGGAGAGCATTATGCTAAGTGAAATAAGCCAAGCAGTGAAAGACAAATACCATATGATCTCACCTCTAAGTGGAATCTAATCAACAAAAAAACCAAGCAAACAAAATATAACAAGAGACTTCGAAATAAAGAACAAACTGACAGTAACCAGAGAGGAGGTGCGAGGGGATAGTGGGGGGGAAGGGGGTAGGGTCCATTGAAGGAACATGTATAAAGGACCCATGGACGGAGCCAAAGTGGGGTAGGATTGAGGGTGGGAGGTAAGGATGGGTGGGGTGGGGGAAAGTGGTGAAGGAAAAATGGAGACAATAGTACTTGAACAACGCTTTTTGAAAAAAGAAAAAATTAGATTGGCGAGTATTGGTAGCTATGCCATTTTGCAGATGAAGAAACTGAGGGGCAAAGAGTGAAATCCCCAGTTGGAAGGGAGAGAGTTAGGATGTGAAGCCAAGCTGGCCCGATTCCCAGGGGTGCATTCTTTGCACCACAATAACAGCTGCCTTGGTGTCCTGGTTGCTCTACGAGGGATAGTCAGAGAAGTGACTGGAAAATAATCTAAACAATGTCAGTAACCCCCATGCCATTTAGAAATTGAAGGTTTAAAAGGCAATGTCTGCTATCTCCTTGATTTCTACAGAAATAGAGATGATACCTCCCTGTGACAGTGCTAAGTGACAATTCTGAGTGTAAATGGGCTTTTTGGCACAAATTGTCCTGTCCTAATAGTCTTGATTATAATTATAAAATAATGGGTTCTGAAAGACTGCAAGCAGTTCTGGGAATGGCAATAAGGGTTTAGAAACGACATGTTGTTTATGCGAGAAGTGTTTTGTTGAACATTAAACCCACGTTTAGTAGAAGGGAATGTGTTGTATGCTCTTAAGAAACTATTGCACTATATAATTAAATCAAAACCAGTCAGCTGCCAATTTGAGCTCTTGTCTCTCACTAACAACACCCCATCTCCCCTGAGCCATGCAAGACAGAGCTGACCTAAAATAACCCAGCCTGTTTCTTACTCCCTGCTCCTGAGAACTTTCTCCCTCCACCTTTCCAAGGCCCTGCTTGGAGACACATGCACAGGGCCCAAGTTCTTCCTAAGACTCAGTCTAATCTTTCTCTATAACTCTTTCTTGGTGGTCTTCCCACCTTCACAAAAAGGAATGAACAGTCTTTCTATTTAAGGGATTTCCTGGGATGCACTTTATAGAAAAAAGGAGTTAAAAAAAGAATTCTGTGACACAGTTTGAGATGCTCTGAACTTCTCACAAAATCCCCAGAGAAACTGTCTTGAACTTCATTTCTTAGATGGGTAACAAGTCCCTCTCCAAAGGTTAGAGAGTCATCTCTGTTTCAAGATCCTGAAGTTACTGCCTAATTTCTCTCTCTCTCTCTCTCTGTCTCATATATTCTATCTTCTTCTAGCCTCTTTCCTCAGCCTTCATTTGTACTCAGTCTTTTTTACCGAGGACTTCAGGCAGCTTGCATTTGAGATGGTTTCCATAAAACCATTAAAAGTGGAAATAATATATCAAGATGATAAAGCTTACCAACTCTGATTTTTAAAAAAGTGCTGGGCTTAAGAATCACTTGAGGACTTCAATTATACTGTATATGTCTGTCTGTCTTTTAAGATCAGTTTATGATCCTTATTGTTGGAAAATCTGATTTGGAATCAAAGGTTGAGTTTGAGGAATTTGTATTTTAAAATATTCCCCAAGTCATTTCAATGTACGGACAGACCTGGGAATGACAATTATAATAGAAAATAGAGGATAATACCCCACATTTGTTATGGTTACTAGTTTTGTCCTTGAGATTTATTGCTAAGAATCATAACAGATAAGACAAGGTCAACAGAATGGAATAGATAATCCTTATTGTGAAAGGAATGAAGAGACCCCATTGGTCAGATAATTTCTCTTTCTTTCACACTGTAAATTGCTTCTCAATCCCACTAGCTCAGACTCATTGGGATATCAGAGCTGGCCTGTGTGATGCTGAGCTTACAATATCCATTTATATGTTGTGACCATGGCAATTGTTTAGTTCTCCTAGTTCCTCCTAGTATGTTGCCAATTTCCCTTCTTCATGCTCCAGGATAGCTGAGACCTAGCATCAGTTTGTACCAGAGAAATGTCCTGGTCTGCCCTGGACTCCCTGTGAGGCATCTGCTGCCAAGGTTATATTTCTGATTTTCCATTTCAAAATAAAACCCGGCTGCATCTCTTTTGCAAACTGATTATGCAGCTTGCCATTGGCTATCAAGATTCCAATAACGGTTTTCTCTGGGAAACACCAGCATCTCCTGTGCAAAGGCGTCCTCGTCAGTCTCATCCCAGGGAACTATTTTTCAACATTGCTGGGGGGAGTTTGGGCAGTGAGCATTCGAAGTTGATATTCCGTGGCTCTGACCTCTAAGTCTGATGGGTCTTCTGGGGGTGTCTACTGCTCCCCAGTGGGAAACCCTGCCGTAGGAACTTTCTGCCTGCAAAGAACACTCATGGTAGTGGATGGCAGGCTGGTGAATCTAGCTGTTCTGCTCTCTGCTGGGTCTTGCTCAGTCCTCTGCACACATCATCTTTGGCTAGATGGGCTGCAGGCTCAGTGTCTTACCAGGTAGGAGAATTGAGCGTCGTCACTGTTACTGGAATATTAGCTGCTGAGATCAGGTGAGTGAGCAGAGGTGGTGGCCCTGTGTTCAGATCTTCTCTCTGAACTTAAGTCTCTTACTAAAAAATGGGACACTTGGACTGGATTGGCATCTTCCAAAATGTGGTATGTTGGTAAATGAGATGATCTATGTGGCTAACAGGGGAGCACATTAACATTAATAATTATGTATATATTTTATGGTTAATTTCTATTTATAACAGGTTTTATGAATCACAAGGAATAGGATTCCTTAAAATATGTATTTAAGTTTAAAATGTGGGCCTTTAAAAAAGCAGAGAACAAAATAAATAATCTAGGAAGTATGCAGATGTAAGGGTTTCAAAATGCCATGGGAAAAGGTTGCCTATTGAAAAGCAGTGGATCAAACAGCCACTGAGAGCCAGGCAAGCTCTGACGGTCTAGCACATCTGCCTCTCCAGGGCTGTTTCCTTATCTATAAATGTCCTTCTTGGCAACTGTAGTCTGTGCCACCTCTATCATTCAGATATTCCACCATCCTTAACACCTGGTTCTATCATCTAAAAACTCCTGTTACTGTGTGAAAATACAAGACTCAATAATTTAGAAGTGGTTTATTCGTTTATTTATAATTGCCCCAGTTCTCCCTCATTTCTGGAAGAGATTCAGCCATCAACCAAACTGAGTGGTAGGTGAAAGACCATGGAAGTAGGGGGTTAAGATCATTGGGTGGTGACGTGGCCACACCACTCTCAGTTTAGCTCCCTGATCTCTTGTCCCTCGGCCTCTGTGTCTTTGTTCAGGGGTGAATGGTTTATGGAGTCACTTCAATGACAGCTAGGGAAAGCAAATGGAGCAGAGGATTCAGCACAATTCACAAAAGTGCTGCATAAATGGGAGAAATTAATATGTACTGGATTGAAAATTACTTGAAGGAAGGGCCCCTCTCCCATTTCGCTATATAATCCCAAGCATGCCTCCTATTTTGCCTCCACATTTAAAAAACGTTTTCATTAATCCACACGTCATCTCTGTATGACTCCCTATATTCCAGCAATGTGTTACTTGGCTAATTTGAATTATCTTAAGGAGAAAACTACAGTGTGTATACATTCAAACACTTTCTTACACTATGTAATGCTTGCCCTTCTTCCCTACACTTCACATTTAAAGTAGTATCTCACGGGCCCCTGAAGAGTTCACTGTGGAGGCACTGTCCAAGCCCAGTTGCCTCTTGCCATCTGCGAATTCTTGCCAGTTGAGAGTGAATACTCTGCATAAATTTCACAATTGGCGATTGGTAATAGCAGAGACCTCTGCTTCCTTCTTTCTTCCTGCTCTCTTTCTTAAAATGCCATCTGCAATGATCCCTTCCATCACTGTGGGGCTGCTATCATCCCTCATCCATATGCCACCGCAAACAGCTACCAAAGACATACTCAGTGGCCAGGCTGCCAGACCTCCAGGCACTTCCCTTCTCAAGTGGCAAGGTCAAGTGCTCCCTTCCTGAGCTGTGGCATCTGCCTCTCAATCATTCTTCCTCCTTTGCCTGCTGCAGGGCCCTGTCTTTGCCCTTCACCCTTTTCTGGCTCCTGACACACTTTTGAAGTATACTCATCCAATTATCTGGGGTTCCATTCTGGTGCCATTCTAACCTGTCCAAATGTTGCTGAAATCTTCCCTTCTTCTGCACTTTCCTATTGGCACTACACTGGTTCTTGCTTAGGATGTTGTGTCCTTGTTTCTGCCTTGAACTGTCAGTATTCCACCATCCTTAGTTTTTGATGTTCTTTCTCGCTTTGCTCCTTTCCTTCCCTTCTTATCTGTAAACTCCATTAACTGCTTCTTCTGCATGTGGCAATGCCTATTGCATTCCCCAAAGAATGTGCCTTTTCTTCCAATGTATTGGGAAGAACACAAGCTTGGGAATCAGTCAGATCTGTGTTTTGATGCTAAGTTTTATAGTACCTGTCTTGTTTGCCTTGGCTGTAAAATGAGGACACTAATTGTCTACTTCTCAGATTGTTGGCAGTTTAATTAGTTGAAGTAAAGCTCTGGCCTTACTTTTTCTCCTTGTAAGTTCTCATCATTTTAATCCTTCTTCCATCCCACATTTATGGAAAAGCCACCCTGTTTTTAGCACACTGCATGATACATGAGGTTGCAAACACAAATAACAAAGATACGCTCCTAGATTCAATTTGGTGAGGGATGTGTCAACAAATAATCGGCACGCACGCGCGCGCGCGCACACACACACACACACACACACACACACACACACACAGTTATGTCAACATGAGATAGGGTTTGTTCTGCCCAGAAGCAGTCAAGGAAGGCTTTACGGAGGAGGTGCTATTTGAGCCAGAAATTTAAAAGAATAGCTCTGCAGGTGGACTGTGGTGGAGTATGAGGAAGAGAAATTCTTAGAAAAGGGAGTGGCATGAATGTAAAGGATAAATCTGGGAAACCATGGGCAGAAGTGTGCGGCCACAGCACAAGGTGTAGAAAGAGA